CCCCCTGGCTTGGAGCAAGCTGTCAGGTGGTTCCCTGAGCCATGATCTTGAGCCTTGGTGTTCCTCATTGCTTTGGGTCTGGAGAAAGCTGCTCTCAGAGTGAGATGTAATCTATTTAAGACTGACAGCTCAGCGGGACTGTTGATTTAAAATAAATAGAAGCCATTCTTAGGCTTATATTGAACAGTTTATGAATCTTTATCTACAGGTGTGAAATCATAAGTTCTGTCCTTAAGAAGGGGGGTCAGGGTGTGGTTCCTATGCTGCCCGTGTGTGGTAGGGTTGATACTGTGGATTTAGATAGCAGTGGTCAGCAGCAGAGCCCTGGTGTGGAGGTGCCCCAGGCATCTCTTCCCCAACCTGTCTGCTACACAAGCCAGGAGCTAGCTCTGTGCCACCTGCCTGGTTGCCATCACGGTCACTAGCGTTGTCTTCCAGCACAGTTGTTTTGGAATTGAGAATTTACCAGCAGCTGTGGATTCTTCAGTGCCTTGCATGGATATGATTTCCAGATCCAATGTCCCGATGTCAGCTGTCCTTTCCCTGTGACAGACTTTTATTCCTAGTTCTTCAGAGAGGAACTTAGTCCAGGCTGGCTGGGGACTCAAGATCCTTCTGCTTCTGCCTGCAGGAGCTGGAATGGCAGGTGTGCCAACATGCTTGCCTGTGTTTTCAAAGAAAGCCGCCAGCTGCTGGCTGGCCGGTTCATGCACATGACAGTTCTGCTGTGGCATGCCAGAAGGGAGTGGATGGGTTTTGTTCCCATTTCGCTTCTTCAGGTGTGTTGAGCTCACCAGGAGTCTACCCATGAGTACCTGCTTCCGGCGTACTTGCTGTAGTGCGAGCTTGCACCATGTGTGCTGGTCTCTCTAGTTGCACATTTCCTGTTTTTTCTGGCGCATTAAGCCATCGTTTATTTTGCTCACTTTACCTCACTCATTTTGTTTCATTGCTATTATCAAAAATACAGCAAAGTACAGCAGTGCAGCTCACCCAGTGCCTAGTGAAGTTTAAACCCTTTATGCTTGCTTTACCTTAGCTGTGGATTTTTAGGAACGGTTACAATGTACAATAAAAACATCGTGATAATTTTCTGTAAACACTTCAGGATGCAGCTCCCAAATCCAGCACGACAAAATAGACATTCTCTGACATAACAACTTTGGACAGATTTATTTTCTGATTATCATTTAAAATCCAAGCTGTGTTCTAATATTTTAAAAATTATTTTCCACTGTTTGAAAATGTGGTTATGTAATCAGATTTAACAGCAGCCCAGCATGCTAGCTAACACCTGTGCAGAACCACTAATACAGCATTGGAGTAGTAAAGACTGTTAAGAACACCGGGAGAGTGCGGCTGTAAGCCTGACTGGAGCTGAGTCCGCAGGACCAGTGGAGAGAACTGACTCCAGAAGGTCTCTGACTGCCACGTGCTTGCCCACACCCGTGGGTTACATCTCTATCTCTCACCCAAATGATAAATACAATTTAAAAATCTAAAGAGGGCCAGTGGAAGCTGAGCATAATGGTGACTGCTTGTAATCCCATCACTTGGTGGAGGAAGCAGGAGGATCTGGAGTTCAAGGCGACCTTGGCTGCACCTTGAGTTCAGGGGCAATGTGGGCTACAGGAAGCAAACTTGTGTCTTAAAAACAAAGCAAAATAACCACTCCAAAAACAGTGAAAGCAAACAAACAAAACCAGTGGAGCTTGAGAAGGGTAAGATTCTAAAGTGTCTGAGCTGAGAGGTAAGATGCTGGCCTAGAACATACCAGGCGAGGCCAAGCCTGGATCCCACCACCACCCCCAAAATCAATAAACTAATAAAGGCAGGCAGACAGACAGAACAGAGCCCCGGCACAGTGGGCTTCCCATAGACAGACAGCGGTGTATTTGCACTTTTCACTGTGATGCTGGGTTTGGTAGACCAGAAATGCTGGCACTTACCAGGGCAGTGAGGCAGCTTGGCCTGAGTGGGGCTGGTGCAGTTGGCAGTCCGTAGCCGCAGAGCTTGCTTGCTCTTAGGTCTTAGAATTTCATGCTCACTCTTTGGCTGTGCTCTATGAAATGTGTGTAGTTAGTTCTTGGTCACTTCATTCAGACTATTAGGGTAGTATTTTTTGTTTGTTTTGTTTTTGTTTTTCAAGACAGGGTTTTTCTATAGCTTTGGAGCCTATAGCTCATGTAGACCAGGCTGGCCAGATTGAATGGTTTTAAGAAGTTACACAGTTGGGTTTTAGGAAGCAGACTGTTTTCAGGGGCCCTTGATGGGTCAGTTTCAGAGTTGCGCCCGCTGCCATGCACAGTCTGCTCTCTGAGCCCCTCTCTCACCCTTTTGTTTTTAATATGGGAAGTATTTACTTCACACTATGACCTTTTCCCATTTTTAAGACTTGAACATTAGTGATCAACTGACAGTATCTGGGACTCTTTAGTGTGTTGAGGGATGTGTACCACGACACATTTGCTCTTTCTTTCTTGATGTGCTGGCTGTGCGAAGCTTGTCTCTCAGGCCTGGCTGGTGGGAGGTGGTATAAGTGGTTCTAGGGTGGGGAGGTAGGGCCAGTTTGCTTGAGTGGGGCGTTCCCTGATCCCAGCTGACCTGAGGTCCAGGCCACGCTCACATCCCAGAGCCGCATGTTCTCAGAAGCCACCCTGTTGTCCTTGGCATGTGGCAGGTGTGAAAACACAGACGTGCAAGTGCTGGGCAGGCCGTTAGTCTCTAGCCCTGCAGGGCGCAGTCTCGTGCCCAGCTTTGAACTCTTTGTGTCAGGATCTCAGAAGCCAATACTAACTGAACTAGTATTTCAGATGATAACTCAGCTAGTCTATGGCGGGAGAGCGCTGAGCCAGAGCCAGCAGTAAAGCAGAAAGGTAAGAACGACCCCTTCACAGCTCTTGGTGGGAGGAAACTAAGTGGCATAGAGGAAGCCAGCTGCCAGGCGCTGGTGTCCTCTCAGGGGACGGCCCGGGCTGAGTATACCCTCATGTGGCAAGGGAGGCGCGCCTGTCTTCCCCATAAAACAAGGTCATTGCTTGGTAACACAAGCAGGAGTGTCATGGGCCTAGTGTGGAGTGGTGGCATTTGTGACACCGACGGTGTCATGAATGATCTCTAAAACAGGTTCCAGGGCCACTGGTCAGAGCTCTGCAGGCCATTCCTGTTCAGAGGACATTAGACCCAAAACTGTGGCTGCTGCCTGGTCCTCTTCTGTGGTTCCTGCAGTCTCCAGGTGCACCTTTGGGGGACTGCAAGGGAATAGCCCTCGGTTTGTTCCTGAAGCCTGGGGACCTCCAGCAGGCTGGGCTTGTGCTGGGGCTGCCATGGTGGGGACAATGGTTGTCAGCTAGGTTAAATGCAGAATATTTGTCTGAGAGCAAATATATATCAGGACCAAGGCAGGAAATGCATGGGAGAGAGAGTAGGGCCACAGGGGCCACCTGTCCTGGCATTGGTACAGGAACTGAGGTGAGGCTGTGAACATAGGGGTAAACAACTGCACAGGAAGTGATGGAAGGAGAGGGAGGGGAGAGCCTGAGGTGACCTGGGAAACAGGAGATCCTACCAGCCTTCCTGACAGGAAGTGCTGAGTTGGCTGGCCTGGTGTAGCAGAAGTATGCAAAGCAAGATGTAGGCCTAGGAAGGAGAGGGTGCAGCCAGGTTCTTCCCGACTTCAGGTGGCCTTGTTAGAAAGGTTAGGCTTTGGTGTGGAGCGGTGGGAGACAGTGATATTTTTGGTGATTTCAAAGGCCCTGTGTTGATTTAGGCTTGGAGAGAGGGGCAGAAGTGAGCAGAGCACAGCGCAGCCTGCAGGAGGCGCTGGGTCTGTGGGCATCTGAGGACCTGAGGGTCCAAGTGCCTGCTTCTGGGAGTCCCGCATGCCTGTCGCTTGTTCTGGGTCCCCACTGCTGTTTCTTACTGTCCTTCTGTCTGGAGTCCCTACTGTCTAATCCTGACCACTTCCCACTCTGTGCTGTGACACTGGGGTTTCCTGGGGCCACAGAGAAAAGATCCTAGGTCATCTCCCCTTTTTGTGGCCCCAAGACCTCTTGTCTCCCTAAGATTACTTTGTCCAGGAACTCTGCTGTAGCGCTCATGTTCAGGTCAGATTCCAGGGGCCATCACCCCATGCCCACACGTGGGTCCTCACCTTGTGCCTGTGAGGACAGGACTGCTCTTGTAGAGAAGGGCACATGTGAATGTGTATTGCTTTCCCCAGCCAAGGTGCCCCAGCCCTCACCGTGTGGACCTTGTGTAAAGGTGTTCCTGGGTGTGACCCAAGGATTATGTGCCTTCAGTTCTTTTGTCTGGTGGTGCTGGGATTGGAACCCAGGGATGTATAGTTGTTTGGCAAGCTCTGCCACCTTCTGCATCTCCAGCCCACAGCTTGGGTTTGAGTTAACCCTGTGGGGACCTTAGACTTAACGGGCCGTGTTTGTGCCCAGAGCGCAACACTTGAAGAGAAAGGACCCTGGGTGAAGGTGCAGTCTAGGCTGCAGGAAGCTGGTCCATTAGGGAGGGCTGGGCTGCTGGTCCTGCTGGCCCCGAGCTGTCACAGCAGCTTGTTTCTCATGGCTTTGTGACTTCAGGATTTGTGTCACTTAGTTCTGTGGCACAGTTTCTTCACAGTCCCATTCCTTCTTTCCCATCTGGTTTTTTAAGACAGGGTTTCTCTGTGTAGCCTTGGCTGTCCTGGAACTCATTCTGTAGACCAGGCTGGCATTGAACTCAGAGATCCGCCTGCCTCTGCCTCCTGAGTGGTGGGAGTAAAGGCGTGTGCCACCACTGCCCAGCCACAATCTTGTTTAATGTGCAGTGTTGTGGTTCTTCTGACCACAGCAGACTGGTGGTGAAAAAATGCTAGAGAAGCGCCCAGAGGACCCTGTCCCTAGCAGGTTCCCAGTTATTGGAGGTGTATTGTCTCTGACTGCTCAGTGATTCACTGTGCTGTGCTTCCCGTACACGAAGGCTAATTTTCTGACGCTCTTCTCTTCTAGGTGACTCTCCCAGTGACGCAGGTGAGAGCGGTTCTGATGTATTTGGTATTGTCATGTGTGTGTGCAGAGTCAATATGAGCTCTTATTTCTGTGCTTATAAAATATACCAGTGAAATACTAAGGAAATATACCATATGAATTTGAATTTATGTTAATTGGCTGTGTTTTAAGTTTCAGTCTTAGATTGGATTATACATGTTTGTTTTTTGTTTGTTTGGTTTTTTGAGACAAGGTTTCTCTGTGTATCCTTGGCTGGCTTGGAACTTGCTCTGAAGACCAGGCTGGCCTCAAATTCACAGAGATTCACCTACCTCTGTATGTTCATGTATTTTAATCTTGAAAAGGCCACATTTCAGGGTTCTTTTCAGAGTATAAAGTTTATTTCTAATGTTCAAATTCGAATTTACATTTACTTTTTTCTAAAGTATAAATTTCTTTTACTTTGAATACTAGAATAAATCCCATTGTCCTAGTAGTTTGGGCTTGTAACTTGTGGGCTTAATCTTTTTATTAAAATGGAAAATCTGTGTTTTAGCTAAGTGGTCCTGCATGCTCTTATAACACTCATGAAGCAGAGGCAGGTAGAGCTCTATGAGTTTAAGGCCACCCTAGTCTATATAGAGAGAACTAGCCCCTTTGTGGTTACATGGCGAGACTTTGTCTCGTAAACAAAACAAACTATTTCCTGACTATGAAAAGAATATAGCAGCTACTATAGATAAATTAGAAATGCAGATCAGGGCAATGAAACGCAAGGCACTTGGTGACTGCGTCTTTTACAACTGAGCCTCACACGCTTCTAGGGCCCCCAATGTGTGTGACTTTGATGTCTGTCACTACTCTGTGGTTAATTAGATGTTAGGATGAGTCCAGCCTGTGAGCGGACTGTGATTGGCTGAGCGATTGACTGTCTAGGTGTGCTGATTCATTCCTGGTGTTAAGTTGTTGCCTGGATCCATCCAGCCCTTGAGTTTTACTCTTTGATTAGTTGGCCAGTTTGCATTAACAGAGCTTGCGTATGCGCATGCCCCGGATGTCTGATTTAGATGTCAAACCCCTTCTGTTTGTCTTCACCAGTGATGGATAAAGAGTTCATTGAAATTTTCAGTCATTTGATTGATGCCTTTTTAAATATTTATATTTGAATTAGTTGGTATTTATATTTGAGTAAATTTTTTTTGTTACTGTTGAATTCTTTTTGAATTGCTGATTGGATTGTCACCTGTTCAGAAGGAGAAGCTGGACCTGCTGGCCAAGATAAGCCCGAGGTGTCAGAGAATGCCGAAGTCCCCAGTGAACTTTCCTCCAATCTCAGGTGTGTCCTTCCCCAGTGCTTGGAATTGTGACCACTCCTAGGATGAGCTGTGGTGCTTCCTGCCATAGCTTCTGCTGCATCAACACTGTGCTGCACCGTAGCTTCTGCTGCTCCAACACTGCTACACCGTAGCTTCTGCTGCACCAGCACTGTGCTGCACCGTAGCTTCTGCTGCACCGACACTGTGCTGCACCGTAGCTTCTGCTGCACCAACACTGCTACACCGTAGCTTCTGCTGCACCAACACTGCTACACCGTAGCTTCTGCTGCACCAACACTGCTACACCGTAGCTTCTGCTGCACCCGACACTGCTACACCGTAGCTTCTGCTGCACCCGACACTGTGCTGCACCGTAGCTTCTGCTGCACCAACACTGCTACACCGTAGCTTCTGCTGCACCAACACTGTGCTGCACCGTAGCTTCTGCTGCACCAACACTGCTACACCGTAGCTTCTGCTGCACCGACACTGTGCTACACCGTAGCTTCTGCTGCATCAGCACTGTGCTACACCGTAGCTTCTGCTGCACCAACACTGCTACACCGTAGCTTCTGCTGCACCGACACTGTGCTACACCGTAGCTTCTGCTGCATCAGCACTGCTACACCGTAGCTTCTGCTGCACCAACACTGCTACACCGTAGCTTCTGCTGCACCGACACTGTGCTACACCGTAGCTTCTGCTGCATCAGCACTGTGCTACACCGTAGCTTCTGCTGCACCAACACTGCTACACCGTAGCTTCTGCTGCACCGTAGCTTCTGCTGCACCAACACTGCTGCACCGTAGCTTCTGCTGCACCAACACTGCTGCACCGTAGCTTCTGCTGCACCGACACTGTGCTACACCGTAGCTTCTGCTGCATCAGCACTGTGCTGCACCGTAGCTTCTGCTGCACCAACACTGCTACACCGTAGCTTCTGCTGCACCAACACTGTGCTGCACCGTAGCTTCTGCTGCATCAACACTGTGCTGCACCGTAGCTTCTGCTGCACCAACACTGTGCTGCACCGTAGCTTCTGCTGCATCCAGCACTTGTGTGATGTCATAGTTATCTGTACACAGTAAGCGAAAACTACTTGTATAGTTTTCTTGTACCTGGGTTACATGACCATGTTTGGAACATTGTAGCAGTTTGGAGAAGTCTCTAGTAATGGCGAATGTCTGTGATGCTCTGACGGATGGCAGCTCGTCTGCAGAGTGTGACTGACTGTCATGCTAACAGTGGCATTGGAATGAGTACTAATGTTAACCTAAGTTTTTACTTTGTCCACTGTGAGATGATTGTGTGTTTCATGTCTTATTTTTTCCTTCCAATACTTAGAAGAATACCTCGGCCTGGGAGTGCACGACCAGCACCTCCCAGGGTCAAACGACAAGAGAGCACTGAGACCTTGGTAGGAGACAGGTGAGGCTGCCGGGCTGCGAGGTTTTAGAGAACTTGACCCGTGTTCTCTAGTGTGTGGGCCCTGGGATGCAGGGGTCTTGAGCCTGTGCTGAGAGACTAGGTGGGGTTGTAGGAGGCAGTGCTGGGAAAACTAGCTTTAGAGGAAAGGTGGGGTTAGGTCATTGCCTTAAGCCACAGAGCAGCATGCATTCCAGACTGGCAAAAGAGAGAAGTGTGTGTGTTCACGGGCTCTTGCTGGGTTGTGTTTGTCTGACCTCTAGATAGAAGCATAAAAAGAGAGAAGAGTTGAAGGCCTAATTGCACAAAGTTAGAAACAAAAGGGGTTCCCAGAGCTGAACATGCCAGAAGGGTAATGGATATGGTGGCTGGGCCTGGAGAAGCTGCCCTGTGAAGAGAAGTCCTGGCTCAGTGTGGCCTGAAGGGTCACACGTGCCATCCTGTGTCTATCTTAGAGCCAATGTCAGGGAACAAGGAGTCCCAAGAGCCTTTGTGGAGCGGAAGGACCAGCAAGGCTGGGGCCGAGGGCTGGAGTGGCAGCTGGAGGCTTTGGGTGGTGAAAGGTGGCGTTCTCCCTGTCCCCACTGTTTCCTGAATGCTTCCAGATGCCTGGGGCTGATGACAGCTGGTGGCTGAAGGGCCGCTTCTAATGTCAGTGACTCTTGTCCTGCTTAGGTCAGGAAATGGTAAGACTGTCTCCAATGTGATCATCGACTCACAGAATTCTGACAACGAGGATGATGAGCAGTTTGTGGTGGAGGCCGCCCCTCAGCTTGCAGAAATGTCAGAAATTGAAATGGTTAGTTCACCAGAGGGTCCTGTTTTCAGTAAATATAGTTAGAAATTAGGACTTCAGCTTTCAGTTTATGTAGATACAGTTTTTTCCCCTAATTTTTTAGTAAGCTGTCTTATTTCTTTAGGTTTTTTTCTGGTTTACATTTGATTGATTGTTTGTTTGTTTAATGACTTTGAAACTCAGCACACCTGATCTTTCTCCTTTTCTGCTCAGGTGCAGGCAGGGGACCTGGAGGATGAGGAGAAGCACGGTGAGTGCTCTCACAGAGATGCAAGTGGCCATCCTGTGCCTAGCTGTGTTCTAGGGTGGGCATTGTTGCTGCCACCATGCGGACCTGTAGTATGGGCTCTGGTCACAATGCAATCATGTTTTTTCTGCCCAAGAAATTAATGCCTGTATACACACATAACACACATAAATTTTCCTGAGAATTGAGTTTGCTATGTAGCCCAGGCTGCCTGGAACTCTCCATCCTCCTTTCTCAGCTCCTAAGTGCTGGAATTATAAGCATGTGCTACCATACCTAACTCAGTTTCATTTTCTATTCATATAAAATATTCCCATAGCTTTAAGGTTAAATGCACACAGCGAAATGCGTTAAGAAGTAGAAGTTTGTTGTTTGTTTTTTTCGCTGTTGTTGTTTGAGGCAGGGGCCCATTGTGTGGCTCTGGCTGGCCTAGAACTGACCGTGGGGACCACTTTTGACCATCCTCTGCCTCTGCCTCATGATCACTGAGATTATAAGTGTACACCGCCCTATCCAGCACTGAGGTGTAAGACCTTAGATCTTGTTCTTTCTTCCTGTACTCCCCCTAGGTGCAGGTAAAAATATGAGTATTATTTCCATTTTAAAAAAGCGTGCGTGCGTGTGTGTGTGTGTGTGTGTGTGTGTGTATGTGTATGAACTTGATAGTCTGCTGACTTTCATTCCAGCACAGAGGCCCAGTTTTGGCCTCTTTTCATAGTGGTGTGTTATATACCATGTGAGTCATACTTCATCAGCTCAGTCTCATTGAAACATATTTAGGTTAAAAAAAAAAGCTTTTTTGTTTGTATTTTTTTGAGACAGGATTTCTCTGTGAAACAGCCATGGGTATCCAGGAACTTACTTTGTAGACCAGGCTGACCTTGAATTTACAGAGATCCACTTGCCTCTGCCTCCCAAGTGCTGGGATTAGAGGTGTGCACTATCACTGCCTAGCAAAAAAACAACAGAACACCCCAAAACACTTTTAAGTATAATATTTTATTAATTGTTTGAGAGTTTCATGAAATGTATTTTGATTAGTTGTGAGTTTGTGCGTTAGCCACCATCCACTGCACAAAGAAGCTTCCCTGATGAAGTCTGAGGGCTGACTGTGGGTAGAGACTTCTTTGATGAGGTCTGAGGGCTGATTGTGGATAGAAGCTTCCCTTATGAAGTCTGAGGGCTGATTGTGGGTGGAGATACAAATTAGAGGGCAGTTTGATGCTCTGTCCAGTTAGCAGAAGAGGAAGAATTCTCTCCTGGGACTGATGAACTTTCCAACCATCAGGGCTTGGCCAGTTTTCTTCTGTGAAATAGGTCTTCAATTCAACCAGAAAGTGGCTGTCACCTCCGTAGCATTTGTGCCAGGCTTGCCCCGTGGTGGCCCGTGCCGCACCGGTCCTTGTGGCTCACAGGGTAGGCAGTCAGTCACACTGCTGATGACACCGCCCCCTGCAGCCCACATGGCACAGTAAAGCAGTATTTCCTAAGCTATTTACACCATGGAGAATTCTAAAATGACTTTAGTCTTCTTGCCTAATCTAAAAGAAACAGCAGCTCTGAGGAGCCATTAGAACTGCTCTGTTTGCAATGGTTAGTTACATTTAGGGTGTAAATCCACATTTCTTCTTAACTTGTGGAAGAAGAAAAAAAATCTATTTATTTGTAAAACTCCTCTGTGACACTTTGTGACTAGCCTCTGCCAGCAGCAGGTGGCACTGTGTTCTCTTTTAGCGCACAATAGGAAGGCATTTTGATATGGAAAGAGAAAGGATGAAAATTCAGCCCTTTGTCCGTCTTTCCAGTGAGGTCTAAGAATAATAAGTCGCTTCTTGGGGGAATAAGCTTAGATTGAAAACTTCTGATTTTTAACAGGTGGGCTTGTGAAAAAGATCTTGGAGACGAAGAAGGATTATGAGAAACTGCAGCCGTCCAAGCCTGGCGAGAAGGTAAGGAGCAGGGCTGACCTGGACATTTGAAAACTCCTTTAGCTATCACGGTGGTGAACAGATGTGAAATCAGTGATCTTGTTCATGTGCATAAATGCCCTCCCCCGCCCCAACAGCTGACGTCTAGAGAGCGTCTGTCTGTGGGTGCTGCTGTGGACTGTCCTGCCTGTGGTGTGAGGCAGCAGCTGCATGGGTAGGCTGTTCTGCTTCCACTCCACAGCTTCCCTTCTGGCCTGGCCTGCTCATTCTCCCTGGCACTTGTGAGGAGAGGACAGGCTGACCACTGACCCTGGTCATTGCAAATTAAGAGCTGGGGGTTTCCAGGCCTGGTTCTTACTGTGAGTTGAGTTCTATGTTTGTGTGACTCCTAGGATCTTTCTTACTGGTGTGTGTGTGTTTTAAACTGTTTATGATACAGTCCTGTCTGTCATCAACCTCCAGCAAGGTCAGAGGTGAACACGTGAAAGCTCCCACAAAAGAAGGGCTAAGTCCCATTAGTAAGAGGATAGAACACTAAAATACCTTGACTGAGTTTTGGTGCCTGCGGTGGTTTGAATGCGAATGTCCCCTGTTGTCTCTGACACATGGATACTTGATGCTCAGGTGATGGCACTGTTTCAGGAGGTTTAGGAGGTGCGGCCTTGCTGGAGGAAGTGTGTCACTGGGAGGCAGGCTTGGGTGGTTTAAAGACTTGCCCCATCGCTCATTTGCTCTTTCTGCTTCCTGCTTGGTGGTTCAAGATGTAAGCGCTCAGCTTCCTCCTCCTGCTGTCATGTGTTCACAGCGCCATCATGGACTCTGGACCTTTGGGCCCAAATAAATTGTCCTTCCTTTGATAAGCTGCGCTGGCCATGGCATTTTGTCACAGCAGTGGAGAAGGAACTAGTGAAGTATGGAAGCCTTTCCCTCTCCGGAGCTTTGGGGATTTGAACTTGCTGCTGTGGCTGCCTCCCATCATCACCCTTGCCCTTTGATGTCTTCTTGTTATTGTTGTGCTTTCCTGGATATGATGTATATATTATATGTAATGCCTGTCTATATTGTGGTTGCTTGCTTGGGATCAAGCTTTGAGTCTCCCTATATATAATCTTTCCAGTCTGTTACTTACCTAACTTCGTGCTAAAGAAGTCCTATTTTTCATTGTTTAAATTGTTTTAAAAGTTCTCTGTTGTGATACAGGCTTGAGCTCTTCTCTGCACCCAGCATGCTGTATTTTATATCAGTCCTACCTGCTGCCAGATCTTCATGGTCTTCTTTCTTATATCAGTTCTGTCTGCTGTAAAGTAGTCAGTCATGTTACTCTTTCTTGTACCTGAAGCATCTGCTTCCCCCTCAAATGTCTGTTCAGTCCGGACTCAGTATGCGTGTGGTGATCTAGTTCCCTGCCTTGTGCAGAGCCAGCTAGTGATAGTGATAACCATCCTTCACACTCGGGTGTGCATCTGACACCATCGTGTTTCTCCTTGCTTTAAGCATTGTGCTTTCTGTCTGGCAAGGTCATTCCAGCTGTTCTCCTTTCCTCTCCCCTGTTTTCTGTGTTTTCTCTGTCCTTACTGAGTCTTGGGCTGGTTCATGTGGCCCTTGTAGTGAGTCTGACTTCATTGGTTCCGTGGAAAGTCTGGTCATTTAGCCAGGTGTGGGTCACATACCTTTAGCCTCAGCACTCAGGAGGCAGAAGCAGGTAGATCTCTGAGTTTAAGGTCAGATTGGTCTACAGGCTAGGTTCCAGGCCAGCCAGGTCTACACAGTGAGACCTTGTCTTAAACAAACAAACAAACAACAACAACAAAATCCAGCAAAAGTCTGGTAACTTAGATTCAGTTGTGTTAGTCTCATTCTTCTGTTTGTTCATTTAGACAGGGTATTGCTGTGTAACTCAGACTGGCCTTAAACCCATGATTCTCTCGCCTCAGCCTCTGCTGGAATCACTGCTCTTTGTAGTAATATGAGCGGTGGGGCTGCGTCCCCAGCACCCCGGCCGCCTGCTAGCTTATGCCCCGAAATAATTACACGGAAACTGTATTCTTTTAAACACTGCTTGGCCCACTAACTCTAGCCTCTTATGGGCTAATTCTCATATTTTGCCTAACCCATTTCTAATAATCTGCATAGCACCACTAGGTGCGCTTACCGGGAAAGATTCAGCATGTCTGACCTGGCGGCTTGCTCCATTGCGTCTGCTTCAGAAAGCAGAGCTATCACGTCTGCCCAGGAGAGGGGAGCATGGCGTCTCTGAGCTTACTTCCTCTTCCTCCCAGCATTCTGTTCTGTTTACTCCACTCACCTATGTTCTAACCTATCAGGGCAAGCAGTTTCTTTCTTTAATTAACCAATGACCTTCCTCCATCATTTCCCCTTTTTCTGTTTAAACAAAAAAGGAAAGGCTTTAACTTTAACATAGCAAAATTACATATAACAAAACAGTTATCAAGTAAAAGTTACAATATTTACATCTATTTTATCTTTTTTCATAACTAAGGAAAACTATAACTATCTATATATTCTTTAACTCCATCAAAGACTACAGAAGGATATAATATTACCTAAGCAAACAAGAAATCCAAAACTCTAGAAATGACAGAGACATCTCGCTGCTTGGACAGTCACCCAAAGTTTCTCTGTACCGTTGGGGCATCCATCTTCGGCCTACAGGCCCATAGTTTCCAGCAGACATTTCCATGAAGCAGGAAATTTCAAAGGCAGTTCAGTCACTATCTGTTGTGTCCTGCAAAATGTCTCGCAGAATCTTTCATGAATCAGGAACCCCGAAAGACCATCTCACCTTTAGGCAAGTTCAGCAGTCCTCTCTCTGAGGGTTCTCTTTGTCCAGTTTATGTAATAGTTCAAGCAAGAGCAGTTTCTTGCCCAAATGGCTATCAAACTCCATAAGGATCCTCTTCGATGCCCATCTTCCTCTTTAAGTAGATTGGTGCTGCCAGGAGCAGTTGTGTCTCATTGTCATGAAAAGCCCTAAGTTATTAAAACATTTAAAATGCCATATTCTATAATCTTTGAAAGATATAAAGAATGCCTATCTAAAATATATCTATGTACATCTAGAAAATCTTAACTAACATAACTACAAACTTGACTATTCTGATTATCTATTAACAACCTATATACATTACATTTTTACATAAACTACATAATCACAATACCTTAATCAAGAGCAGAAATACATATACATATAATAAAATTGACCTTAAATTTATATCACTAAAGCAAAATCCATATCAATGCAAATTATTCATACCTATATCATATCCCCCTTTAAATGTAAAAGAACATTTATAAACCATATTTGGGAACATGGGCGCAGTTTTTTCTCCCCAAACTGCTTCCTGCTGAATGGGGGCGTCGTTAATTGGGTCTTTCATGGTATAACCTGTGTGCCAGGGTCTTCTCAGTTGGCAGTTGAGTGAAGTAATTTTTTGAAGGTGTTCACAGCAACCCTTCAGGAGGGCGTGGTCCATCATACCATATTGGAATAGAAGCAATCCACAGACTCTCACCCTCTGTGAAAACAAAATAAAAAACTCCTTTCCAAAGCATCGTGTCCTTAGATCCAAATTTCAAAGTCAAGGCATTTTCAAAATATCTATGTTGGATTAGTTCAGCAGCATTTATAAACAAATATCTTTTAGCAGCTGTTGCTCTTTCCTCAGCATTCAAATAATTCAAAGAGAGCATAATAGCATACAGTATCAAAATTCTCTGTGTATTTTCCATCTTTGTGCGCTTTATTTTAACCTCTATTTTGTTTATTTTTACTTTTATTTTTTGCTTTTTGAGACAGGTTCTCTGTAACTTTGACCTGGAATAACTCTGTAGACCAGGCTGGCCTTGAACTCTCAGAGATCCGCCTGTCTCTGCCTCACAGGCATTGGGATTAAAGGTGTACTCTACTACACCTTGAACTCACAGAGATCTGTTTGCCTCCGCCTTCTAGGCACTGAGATTAAAGGCGTGTGCTACCACACCTTGAAGTCACAGAGGTCAATCTCCCTCTGCCTCCAAAGTGTTGAGATTAAAGGTGTGTATTACCACACCCAACTACCCTCTTTCTTCCTTTTTTTTTTTACTTTTAAGAACTTTTAACTTTTAGCTTGCATATATTTTTAACACACTGTAAACCATTTAGAAATTTTCTTTTTCTTTGAATCTCTCTTTACTGTATATCTCTCTTTTTCTCACCACATGAGTCTTTAATTTACCAAGCAATATCAGTAGGACTAAAGCTGTGGCTTTGACGGCTGGATCCAGCCCATTCCTTAGCTTTCCAGCCTCATGGCTGAGGTACTGGCTGTAGCCATGTTTACTGCCACAACTCTATGGCATTTCAAGGTCCTTGCCAGCAAGCAAGCTTCAGCAGCCTGTGCTTGCAAACAGCACGAATGGCCTGCGTAAAAGAGTCAGAGTTTGCCCTGGCAGGACAGCCCAGAAAGCCGGCATTTTTAAACGGCGCAGCTTTTTTCCTGCTATGGCTGAAAACTGAAAAGCATGTGTTCAGCTTTTCGTCAACACCGTTTAAGTGTTTCATGGCAGGACCTCTTAATGAGCTGCAGGGTTTTGCAGCTAAAGCTGAGTCAGGAAGCCTCTCTTAGATGAGAGAGCTTGCTTGCCTCTAGCAAGCAGAGTAGACCGGAGAAATTGTTGCTACCAAGAAAACATGCTTTATTCTTTCCCAGGCTTTCTCAGGCTTTCAGTGGATTCAGTTGTCCACACATCTGGGCACCATTCTGTAGTAATATGAGCAGTGGGACTGCGTCCCCAGCACCCTGGCCGCCTGATAGCTTATGCCTCGAAATAATTACACGGAAACTGTATTCTTTTAAACACTGTTTGGCCCACTAACTCTAGCCTCTTATGGGCTAATTCTCATATTTTGCCTAACCCATTTCTAATAATCTGCATAGCACCACTAGGTGCGCTTACCGGGAAAGATTCAGCATGTCTGACCTGGTGGCTTGCTCCATTGCGTCTGCTTCAGAGAGCAGAGC